AAAAAAAAAAAACAAAAAAACAAAAAAAAACAGGTGTTTTGTTATTCTGAGTGATTCCTTGAGTATATTTTGATCTTAATTGTTCTCAACTGAACTAAGTATTTGGTGGACAAAGTTGACCCACCTTGATTGACTGGAGCAGTTTATCATAGGCTTATATTCTCTGTCATCTTAATTATGGGAATGTCATTTAAAGGGCCAAGTTCTGGAACACGTGTTTATGCGTCCCACTGAGGTAAATGAGCAGCTTTGTTTGATTTCATTTAATTATATGAATTATTATAAAAATTATCTTAAAGTTTGCACAGATTGTTTAAAAAAAAATTACATACTGCAAACCACAGTTATGGGGAAATGAGTTTAGAGTCGCAATGGGATACATTTCGTAATGATCTGATTGAATCACATTATCTCTATCACTATCTCATATGATAATGTATGTCCATTAGATTGGTCTGTGTCTTGAATAATTATGTAAAATTCACAATACACTCGCTATTATAGAATTCTGCAATAGCTGGGGAAGAAGCAGTCAAGATATCTCAGGAACTGTGAGAAAAGGGTGCTGTTCTTACTGTAGTTCTGGAGACAAGACTGTTTTAAGATGTTCCTGCCATCAATTGCCCCACAGATTCCTGTGCTGCTCTCTCCTGCTTTGGCAGTGAGCTTCACCCTGATAAATCATTTGTTTGCATGTCTGTCCACTGCTGGTGACCAGAAAACATGGCAGGACACTCAGCTGTCTCAGAGGCCATGGTGCCACTGATATTTTGGTTGGTGTTTCTTGGTTTTCCTTTTTCCTCAGGTTGTTTCACGACATTGTATCTTAGCACACATAGCACCTTGCACTCAAATCTGCTATATCAACTGACCTAATTTTAAAAAAATGAAAAAAAATATTATTTTCTTTAAGGTGTTTTGAGTCTGCATCAGATCATTATTGCAGTCAACCGTGTAGCCCCCTTCAACCCACACACATGCATCACACACAGACACACTTATATTTGCCTCATAAAGTCGTGGTGCAAGAGGGAGGAGGGAGAAAACAGGAGGGTGGCATTCAGTGTACAGAATGTGCTTCAGCTGTCTGTTTTAGAGAAACGTCTATTTTCGCTGTAGAACCATCACTGTGATGAATTTGGAGCTTGATGGGCTGCTTTTTCACTGTATGTTCTATCCATTTTGTTGTCAGCAGTAACCTGATTAGTAAGCAATCAGGAGTAGCTTTTGATATTTTCATAGTGTTTTCTTTCTCTTTTTTAGAAGAAACTATTTTTCCTCATATGAAACGGTGTTGTAGTAGCAGAATTAGTTGTTATGACTTAGCATCAGTCCTCAGACTTTAAAATTGCACATTCACCTGAGGCAGTAATTGCCTTTAAGGTGCACGTGAACTAAAAGTCTTACTTCATTTTTTAAAAGAAGAAAAAAAAAATTTAATACAAAGTGATCTGTTTTAAACTACTCTGAAACATCTACAGTCTCTGGCTGCCTACTTTATATTACTGCGGTTTTTACAAGTGGCATGTCCACCTATGTTACACAGACTGCCTCCTTTCTCTGATGGTAAAGAGTCTTGGATTTTCTGCTGAGAAAAACTGAAGGGTGATTGCTATCGAGTGCCTTTTGTATCTTTAACAGGAGGCACAAAGACTGTGAGGGTACCAACTACATATTCTGAATTAGAATTCTTGGTAGGCACCTGGTTTAGTAGAAGGATAAAAATGAGCGGTATATTCCCAAAGCTAGTATTAGTTTTAGGTTTTGATCTGACTGAGCCAAGATTTTGCTATGGAAATTATCAAACTGCAGCACTACTCATCCAGTGCAACACACTGTTCAATTCAGAATAATCTAGAAAATAGAAGTATTGTATTGTATTGTAAGTCTGAAACTCAAAGACTTCCTTTCTGTCATTATAATAAAACTTTGTTTCAAATAGGCACTGAAACCAAATGTTAATGTGTCCAGCCTCAAAAAGTGGGATTATTACGTAGAAGAGATTTTGGCTACAGGTCCTTCCTATGATTGGACCATGGTAACTGCAAAATGCAGTGTTTCAGAGGAGGCTGACCAAATGGATGGTTCACTCTCTCAGACTAAGAGGAAAATAGTATGGCCATGTTATGATGATGTTAAAAAAATACAACCTGATGCCATCAGCAGCCTTTTAAATGTAAGTACATGTGTTACACAGAACAGTAAGTTCTCTTGTGCTCATGAAATTCTATTTAATTTTTATTTAAGTTATTGCCTTATAGATATACTGTTATTAAAAGCATCATGATAGATGTCAAAACAGGTGTTTGGTAAAACTGACTGGTTGATCTTGAGAAGTGATGGTTGGTCTGGGAATCAGTCAGACTTTCTGCAATGCTTATGTTGTTCTGAATGAACACTCTTCTGGGAGTACACTTCAATAGTAGTTAATAACTGTGAGAAAGCCAGTCATGGATTCATTTTTTCACTGTCTATTTTAAATAATAAGGTAGGTAGCATAATAAATTTTTAGGTTGCCTTTTATAAGAAGTGCAGGAACTGTTATTTTAATTTGAGCATATGTTGAAACTAGCTTTCTTGTCTTCTTCCTACTCAGTTTAAAGTAGGGATGTGGCAAAATGATAAAGACACAGATTTCCAGACAGATCAGAAAACAGAATCTGACACTTGTTAATTTTAACAAGTGGGAGGCACACAGGCAAACATAGTGAACAACTTGCCCCAAATTTCTCAAAAAAGCTTTCCATGATTGCTCTTAGTTTATTCATGTTTACTAGGACCAAACTAGTAAATTTAAATTCTTCAGAATATTTTGGTACTTGAAATAGATGCTTGATTTTGGCTTTTTATTGTTTGGGCTCACGTAGGCTGTTTAGGTTTCAGCCTTTCTTTAGAAGATAAAAAAGGATCCCATTATCATGGTAATTGTAGTTATTTAGAATGATTGAATATCTGCATTTTCTTAAATGTTTGTCGGTTGATTATAATTAATTAACAGTCCTAATATTTAGATTAACATCTTAATTGATAGCACAGGAAAATGACAAGGGAATTCTTCACTTCCTGGAGCCACGTTGTTTCAAGCCACATGCATATTCAGATACACATCACTATGTACAGTTTTTAATTTTGAAAACTATTTGCAGACTTTACCTTATGTTAAAGCCGGGATTATGGAGCCTAACAGTGCAATGCTTGGAAAATTGGGATATGCTGTGGGTCCCCAAACTCCCCTGAATCGAAGATGCTTTTTATCAAAGTCTTAAGGCAGGGAGTTTCTGAATGGATTTGAGTCCTTGAGGATAGACTTGCTTTTGCTAGAGCATTAGCTTTATTCTGGCACTTTCCTCAAATTTATTTTGGTCCATTCCTTCCAATTATAAATGATCAAACACAGGAACAATGCCCAATTTAAAAAAAATGATAAAATAATCCCTTGTAAAACTCCTCTTGACTCAAAATAAGATAACCAGAACTTCTCAGAGCTTGTAACTTCACAAATAGAAAAAGAGAGTAGTCTCCCAGCAGAGGTCACATCAGGGATTCTTTAGGAATAAAACAGAGAGCTTTGGTATCAGGTAACTAGAAGCCAGAAGTACATCAGGAATATAACAACAATGTTCTTCTGCATTTCTTCCTGGGGTAGGTGCCAAACTATCCATATCCACAACTGTGAGAAACTGCCATATATGACGGAAATTAGCCATATTATATTCTAAAGATACGTGGGTTAGGTTTTATAAAGTTTAAACATTATTTGTGAATTAGATTATAGTAATAAAAGATAGCAACGGAGAGGAACATTTGGAAAACTTTGAAGAGGTTGTATAAAGGTTACAAAAATATTCTTCTAAGTTTAAAAAGCAAAGTGAACTTTCTTTTAAAACAAGTTGTTAATTTAGGGTTGTTGCTGATGTAGGAGAAAGACCTCTCTCTAATCATAAATCCATTGAGAATGTGTTGGTATCCAAAAAATGTTTGAACTGAGACCATATTTAGTGATGGTAAATTACTAGGGAAGATTGATTCTCCCTTAGTTTATAATGATAAGCCCAAATTTGTTTGTTCTAAAGATATTTTTCAATTGAAAACTAGATAGTGTTCTTCAGGATGTAAAGCTGAAACAGAGAAGTTATTGAGTGTCTTAATTCAGAATTTTCCTTGGTAGAATGTGGTGCTTTTCTATTAAGAGCAAAAGGTGTGATTTTTTTTTTTTTTAGTAGTAAATATTCTAATGTGTTTTGGGTACATAACAATCCACCTCTGACCAGATGTGTGTGATGGCTCTATGGTTTCCATAAATCCTTATGAGTTTTAGGAAGTTAACTGATCTGCACGTTTCATTCATTTAGTCCTAAATGGAACCTTTTAAAGATTGCAGATGATAAAATGCATTTTAAAATACATATTTCTGTATAAAGCTTCTCAATTCCCTTCTACCACATCAGAGGCAGCCAACAAATATGAGCTAGGTTGTTCAGATCTTAAATTCTCAGAAGTGTACTCTGGAGACATAAATGTTCAAAAGCAGATCCAAACAGAGGTGATTCCCCTTAAGACCACGGCCTTTCTGCATGATAGAAATCAGAAACAAGGTACCAATAGTAACAGTAGCTACCCATCCATTTTTTAAAGAAAATGAAAGGTAATTGTGAAACAGCACACCTATGCCTCTATTTTCTCTTTCAGAGATTAGTTGCAAATAGTTTTAAAATAATTTCCAATTTAAGAAAGGTAGATTTCTCCACAAAACTCAAAACCAACTCATTTGACAGAAACTTTGGGGTTCCTTATGCTTTTTCTTTTTTGTAAGCACTTGCTTTTCTTGCTTGTAAAATTCAATAAGATAATACCACAGTGTAGCACATCCAAGAGCCATGTCTTCAGTACAGGCTAAAGTTCTGGGTTAAGTGTTTCCCATAAAGACTAGCTCTTCAAATGATCATTTGACGTGAGTATGTTGTGATACATCATAAATGAGCTAACTTACCTGAATGATGTTCAACAAAGGGAAGTGCAAAGTCCTTCACCTGGGGAGGAACAACTCCATGCACCAATGTATGCTGGGGGCACTCAGCTGGAAAACAGCTTTGCAGAAAGGTCCCTGGGGGTTCTAGGAAACAGCAAGCTGACCATGAGCCAACAATGTGCCCTTGCAGCAACAACAGCTAGTGGTATCCTGGGTTGGGTGACAGAGCACTGGCACAGACACAGGTTGCCCAGAGAGGTTGTGGAGTTTCCATCCTTGGAGATACTCAGAAGCCTTCTGGACACGGTCCTGGGCAACTGACTCTGGGTGGCCCTGCTTCAGCAGGGGGGTTGGACCCAACAGCCTCCAGAGGTCACTTCCAACCTCAACCGTTCAGTCATATATGCCTGGTTGCTGGTTATATTAGAGGTAGTAATCTACCTATATTTCAGTGAAAATGCAAGTCAAATCCTTGAGGGCAGACTCA